GGTAAGAACTATTGATTATGGAAATCGTACAGAGGTAATATAAAGATGGAGTGGTCCTTTTAGGAATATGATTATAATGTCACATATGTGTTTCATTATTTGTATACACTCATAACATACCACCGAAATTTTTACCAAAAAAAAAATATGTCACCAAAATTGACATAAAGAAGATATATACCATGCCTAATAAAATACCCTACAAGATATTACATATTATATATATATATATATCAAATATGATTACTCATTGGTCCTTACTAACCATGTTTATTATTTGATTTTTTAATTAATCCTTTTTTGGTGTTATTGTTTTATTATATTCTATATTAATTCACTTTGGTAGTTTTCCCAATGTCACGTGATTATTTTTTTTAACATAAAAGTTTATCAACTTTGGCACGGTTGCCAATCTATGCATAGATAGTATCTTTGCATGTATTCATTAGTAATTACTATTTGTTTTATTATAAAATATGAGATTATTGATAATAAAAAAAAAAGAAAGTTTTGATATTTATAAGAAAAATCTCAATTTGAGGAGAAAAAGATAAAATGCGATTATTATGTCTATATCATCTTTGTTATCTCTTAAACCGAATCAAATTCTATCTTAATTTTCCTAATTTCTAATCAAATTAAATCTTTTTTGGTATTTACATTATAAAACAATATTTCTATTGTTATATATAGTAAGCATTTGCATATATATATATATATATAGATTTATTAGTTTTGTGTATTATATGTATATATATATATATTACTGTTGCGCCGATGATCCGTCAATGTTTAAGAAAAAATTTTAATTTTTACTTGACAACTAAATTTTAAACAGATTGTAGAATACAAAAACCAATATTGATTACAACCAAAATAAATCAAACGTGTACAACATCTATACAATGATTATCATATTCTTTCAATACTTTACTTTACAGATATATATTTTACTATATCAAATAAATATTTTTTAAATCATTTTTATAATAATTATATCAATAAATTAAACAAAAAGAAAAAAAAATAATAGCGCGTTTCTTTCCTATTAAATCTAAAAACTCTTTCAAGTTCAACCTTAGCGTTAAACAGAACCCAATGAGAAATCAACACGCGGACAACTGTTAAATTCTTTTTTTTTTTTTGTTATTTGGCAAAATGGAATATTTCTTTTTTTTTTAAACTAATACAACTGTTAAACGAAGCTTCCTTTTTTTTTTTGGCAAAATGGAAGATTTCCTTTTTTTTATGTATCCGAATCGACTTGAATAAATGATAGAATGCGTCATAATTTTTTTAAACAGAAAAATTAGAATTTGATTTGGAATAAAAAATAATCTTAAAAAATCGAAAATTTCTTTGAAAAAAATCTACAAATAAAAATCAAATCAAATCAATTCGACATAATACCAAATGTTTTCTAAACCGAAATACTCGAAACCTCTCAAAATTCTCGTCTCTCAATCTAAGAAATTTCCACCCAGTTTTGGTCTATGCGTTACACCCTCCAAACCTTTGTCTGTAATCCGATTAGGGCTTTTGTTATATCGCTAACCATATTGTCATTTAGGAGTAGCAGCACTGGGCACGAAGATAACAAGTCCATATTCATAAAATCAAGTTTCTGCCATTTTCATTACAGAGTAATTGTTTTACAACGGTTTCCAGACATAATAAACCAAAAAGAGACACAGTGGAAACAGATACCAAGAAAAACACTTCCAACTACTTGGGAACAGGTACTTCTGGATCACAGCCAGAGCTCAGAGATTCATAAGGGACACGGCGGCACAAAGGGCAAGTGGTGTGGGACTGGAGCCATTCAAAGATGCATCCGCTGTGGAAGACGTGAGAGCAAGGCATGTCGATCACCATGTCTGAATCCGACCAGTCCTCCATACAGACGACACAGTTCGCAGAATCGATATTCCTCTTCAGGCTTTGCGCTTGTTTCTCTCCTTCCTTCTTCAGCCTTGTGATCATTTCTTCTGGTGCTCCCGTTCCTCTGGGACCGTACACTTCTTCTTCTTCCTCTCCCTCTCCCTCCTCACCTTCATAATCTCCCATAACCAAATCCCACATCCCCAATCCTTGTTCTTCCTCCAGTTCATGAAGATCAAACACAGGGGTTGCAGGCGACATCAAACCATCATGTCCTTCAGACAAACTCGATGGAACCAAATCGTAACAAGCATGTTGATCTTCATCCTCGGCTGCTGTTGCGTCTGTCTGAATGTACTCTTCCTCCTCTTCGTCGTAGTTCTCCATATCAACATCACAGGCGGCGGCATCATGATCTTCACGGAGAATTGTCCGAGAGAACCCATATTCACCATCGTCGTAATCATCGTCGAAAATATCATCAGGAGAAAATACGCTGTCTTCCACAACCTTTACGGCGAGTTCTATCATGATTCCCCCGCCACCATACTCTTTGAGAACAGAGGATATGCGCGAAGAAATAGCTTCTGAAAAATCGTCTTCGATCTCGAAACGAACCCGGAGAGTGCCGCGAACGTCGGTGTCAGGACCAAGGTACATCTCCAGGTGGATCGCTTCGTCGGTGAATTCGTTGACGGTGTGAAGATCGCCGTCGCCCATGTCGAAAATCTCTCGGTCAGAGTACTCGAGAGAGATCTCGACCAGGGTCTGCAAGCCCAATTCCGGTCTCAGTTCCACCTTTCCACAATGTATCTCGATCTTCTTGTCGGAATCCATGGCCGAAATTCACAAGAACGAGCAAAGCCCTTTCCCGATCACAGAGAATGATTTCTAGGGTTTTGCGCGGTGAGAGAATCGGAGTGAGAATTCGAGAAGAATGAGCAAAACCCTAATCCGATCGTAGAGAAAGGTTTCGAGGGTACTACGCTGAAAGCAAAACCGGGTGAAAATTTCTTAGATTGAGAGACAGAGGCTGAAACTGAGTTCTTATAGGCACTTCTAACTTCCAAGGGTTCGTGAGATTGGAATACATAAAAAAAAAAAAAAATCTTCCATTTCCCACACAACAGAAAAAAGGAAACAGTGTTCAACAGCTGTGTAAGTTCCACGTGTCGTGTTCTCATTGGGACGTGTTTAACACAACGTTAAAAAGAGTTTTTTAGATTTTATTTTTTCCTGAAGATCAGGGATCATGAACCAAAAAGCGTCAGTTAAGAAAGAGTATAAAAAAAAAAGTTTTTTACCAAACATATCGAAATTCGAAATCTATCGCGTGAGAAAAAAGACGACTACAAATACGGATATAATAATATATTACCCGATTTTTGTTGATTTTTTAGTAAGTATAAATGATTCCTAAAATATCTTCGACGAAGCAAATATTATCTATCATGCAGGGCCAAAGAAAAGACCGAAATTAAATATTAAATGTCATATATCCATTATCTAGATTTGAAAAACAATATACAATGTATGCATGTACATATTAAATATATATATATATATATTAGTATATATATGTCTATGTGTATGTATGCATGTATATATATGTAAAGATTTGTATATTTTTTATTTTTAAATTATTTATTATAATTATTATTTTATTTTTAATTAATTTTAAATATTTTATTATAAATAACGTGATACATTAATCTGATGTATATACAATCCGTTAATGTTAATATCGTCATTGCCGTTATGAAACAAGGATATATTGACTAATAATGTAAAAGTACGATAATTTGTATCAAAGAAAAATAGTTCATGATTTTTTTGATAAATAAGCCAAAAAATAAAATAAAAAAGTATAGAATTTTATCAAGAAAAATATATGAGTTTCGAATTTACTTTTTAGTAAAGTTTTTTGCGTATGGCATCGCCACTCCCTTTGGCAACATCCAACTAATTCTTTTTTGGCATTCCCGAAAAAAAATAAAATAAAACACTATATGATAAAAAAGGAAAAAACTCCTAAAAATTCCTAGACTTGCAAAGTGCGAGAAAAAAAATTCATAAACTTGCGAGTGTCAAATAATTCCTAAACTTGCAAAAAGTATTTCAATAAATCATAATTTCGTTAAAAAGTGTCATATTAGTCCTTTAAAAAAACCGATTATAATAATATGATTTTATATCCTACGTGGCAGGTGATATAACACGTTAAATGTGATTTTTTTTTGCCACGTAATCAGTACTGGGTTTTAAAAAAGTGGATTTTTCAGAAAATATTCTAGAGTCTCTTACACGCATTTCATCGAACATTTACAATGCACGAACATTTAGTATTAGAATTTTAAAAAATGGTGATGTTGATATCCGCATCGCCATTTTTTCCGACACCTGAGCAGAATGGTTCCTTGCGTTTCAAGTTCTTTCATCTATGCATCTTCTATGTTTCAAATCCCATCCATTATAAACCATTGCCGAACTACTTCGAATCTGTTCAAACCCTTCTGTCATTGATGGCGTTTTGTTATGATTTTGTCATCTTCTATGGATGTCCCAATAAGCTCGAGTCTAACGTTATCTACATCGAGGAAGACGGAGCGGATGTCGATCCTGAAGAGCTTAAAAGCATGAGCAAATAGAACGTTTCATCTTGTATAGTGTAAGTCATCGTGTATACTAAGTGTTCGATGAAATGACTCTAAGAGACTTTAAAATATTTTTTAAAGAAACCGGTTTTCTAAAACCCGATACTGATTATGTGGCAAAAAAATCACATTTGGTGTGTCATATCACTTGCCACTTAGGATATAAAATCATATTATTATAATCAGTTTTTTCAAAAGACTAATATGATACATTTTAACAAGATTATGATTTATTGAGATACTTTTTACACGTTTAGAAATTATTTGACACTCTCACAAGTTTATGAATTTTTTTTATCGCACGCAAAGTTAAGAAATTTTTAGGAGTTAGAAAAAAAAGTCCAAAATATATTGGGCTTATTAACAGAACCCGACATATACAATGTCGCCCAAATAAATGTCGGCCCATGTACAATATAAGTAGATATTTGGAAAAGAAAAAAATTCTTCGCTTTAATGGTGTAGACCTAACCCTAGTTACCTTCGCATCTTCGTCTCTCTCGTCCGAGATTGGAACCGTTCGCATTGGTCGGAACTGAATTTATTGTACGGGTGTTCCAGATATGGAGTCTGAGCAAAGAGATGAGCTTGCAGGTTTCTTACAAGTTCTTCCTCCTGTGGAGTTTTGCTGCGTCTATGGTTCAGCTTTGCACCCGAATAACCACGACAAGGTAGGCGCTGTACTGTCTTGATTTGATCTGTCCGTATGTTACTTGCATTCCTGAATTTTCATTGGCTCACTGGTTTGGACAGTAAAAAAACACGACCTTTGTTTTCTTTGTAGTCTAAAATGGTGGACTACATCCTTGGTGTCTCCGATCCTGAGCAATGGCATTCCGAGGTGAGGCTAGGTCTAGAGCTATTCCCGCTAACTGTGATCTTACATGGCAACCCTTGTTTACTCTGTAGATCCTCATCTTCTTTTTACCTGGTGTTCAAGAATCTTAGAATGAATTCGGATCACTATGCCTCGTGGATGGTTAATCTCGGAGGGGCTAGGCTGGTATATCTCTCTCTCTCCCTCTCTATGTCTCGTGCAATTGGATTGCTGTTGCGGCTTTATCTCTCGACCAGAACGCTAAAAAACGGCTTCTTCCTTCGCTAAGATCAGTGGAGTTGCGGATAAAGTAGGAGTTGGAGTTCACTTCAATCCGTTTGTCACTTGGAATAACAGGGTAACGAGTTAAATTTCTGATTTTTATTTTTATTTTATTTTTTATCACTTCCTAGTTCATGCTTGTGTTCTATGCTTCACCTGTTTGACTTTCGAAGAGGATGATCGCATTGGATGAAGAGTTGTACACTTTATTTCTTGCATTACCCATTTTTCTTTCTGAAGCTCTGTGCAGATGCTCAAGTATGGGGTTGTCCGGATGCATAATCTAGTACAGGACATACTGAACTGGGATAGATTCTATTTGAGTGGCCGTCTACAAAAACCGGTGCACATGTTGTCCTGTGTTTTGAATATCAGGTTGGCTTGTTAGGTTTCTGAGGAAGTATATGTCTTGGTACAGGTTCATATTCTTGTAGATGGTGTGGACATAGCAAATGTGAACTCTGTTAATCTGAGAGCTGCAATATCTGCAGCTCTTCTTCTCTTGCCATCAAACTTCACCGAGGTTGGTTTTTGTCATTAGCTCGGAAAATTCTAGGGTAAATAAGGCTTTATATTAATTTACGGAACTCCAATGCAGAAGGATCTCTATGCCAAAATATGTAGCCTTTCTTACATGGGTGACTTATAATCTAGTACAGGACATACTGAACTGGGATAGATTCTATTTGAGTGGCCGTCTACAAAAACCGGTGCACATGTTGTCCTGTGTTTTGAATATCAGGTTGGCTTGTTAGGTTTCTGAGGAAGTATATGTCTTGGTACAGGTTCATATTCTTGTAGATGGTGTGGACATAGCAAATGTGAACTCTGTTAATCTGAGAGCTGCAATATCTGCAGCTCTTCTTCTCTTGCCATCAAACTTCACCGAGGTTGGTTTTTGTCATTAGCTCGGAAAATTCTAGGGTAAATAAGGCTTTATATTAATTTACGGAACTCCAATGCAGAAGGATCTCTATGCCAAAATATGTAGCCTTTCTTACATGGGTGACTTGCGCATGCTTTTTGCAGAGGACAGAAATAAGGTTAGAGCCAGTCTCATTTTATACACCTCAGCGCAAATATCGCTATTAAAATGTGAAATCTTGTGCGGTAATTCTGAAGTTTCATAACGATCTATATTGTTCGATTATCCTGCTTTTATAGAACTCCTGATCACTATTTTTATTAGTTCAAGCCTTTTTCCACAGGTGGAGAAGATTGTCCAGGGTCAACTTGATTTATTCCAGTCAATGTATAAGCCTTTTCTTGAAGAGTACGAGACCAAGGACTGGCTGCAGTTCACATCTTATGACAATAATGTAGGAAAACTTTCTCAGGTACATAAAATTGACGTTACAGTAAGAGCAATAGTCGGCATGGTATTGCCTGTGGCAAGGATTTATACCACCTTGTCGATGACTATGAAATTATTTGGTGGCAGAATGTTACCATTCTCAATCTAGAGCCATTGATCATTTTCGGTTTTATGTCTAAATCACTTCTTCTGTGCCTTGTGATCAGGCTTGCAGTGTTTCAGCTACACGCTCTTTGGTCTCTTCTCTTCCTCCAGCTGTTAGAAACCAGATGGGGGCAAAGCTCGGGGAGAAGAAGATCTCGAGTGGGACCGGTACGAATTCTGATCCCTAGTTTATACATGTGCCACCCCTTCTTAAAACCCTCAAAAGCTGCTATATGTACGATGTGTTTAGACGAAGAACCCATGGAAAACGAGGGTTCTCAAGGCTCTGATTTATAATATGCATAACACCCTGATAACATCTATATATGGATGATGATGATGATGATGATGAGTAGAACTGTTGTTTCCTTGCCGCAGGTCGTGTTTTTAGCGAGGTTTTGGTGGGATCAAGAGAAGAAGCTGCAAAATGTATGCAGAAGGTTCTTAGTCGGAAGGTTATGGTTTCAAGTGCGAGACAGGCAGTGTCTGGTTTCTTGGCTGTTGGATTTGTCAACGGCACAAGATACCTTTCTCAGAAAATGCGGAAAGCTTGGACCTCTCGGACATCATGATGCCGACATTAAGATGCAGATGAATAAGTTTGAATAACCTTCCATGCAGAGACAGGAGGGGGACTGAATCTCTTGAACAATCTCAAGTTTTTGCCATAACTGGTTGCAGGTTTGACCCACAAGAGAGAGCGTAAGTTTCTGGAACGTGTCTCCACAATGTGTTTATTCGTTTTTTTTTTCTGGCCTATTGCTGTTCAGTTTCAGTTTAGAGAATGGTCTGAAACACTATTTTGGGGTATAAATGAAAAATCAGTTTACCCACTTATTTGGCATATTGTAAGATAACCCAATAGTTAGTTGTATTCAGTGAATAATAAGGATTAATTTGCAAAGTTCAAAACTTTTTGTCAATTTCTTGTTTAATCTAATTATAATAAATGTGGCAGGGTTTAGATTCAGACTACGTTGATCGGTAAAAGAAGAACAAGTTGGAGAATTTGATTACAGAGAGTTCCCACTCTCTTCCCTCGCCCCAGAACAAACTATTACCGACAAACCAATACAGACTCTAATACTGGCTCCAATACAGATTCTGACGCACAGTCTCCACTTCTCTTCACCCAACTCCTGACTATTCCTTAGCACATAGACTTGCAGTTGCTTATCTTTCCGCAATCTTCAGCGCTTCTGAAGTGGCTGCTGACCCACTCCGCACCCCGTTAATGCCCCCAACTCCACCCGAAAACTCCGCACCCCGTTAATGCCCCCAACTCCACCCGAAAACTCTGCTCCCCTTGCTGCACAGGTTTCATCGATGATTTGGACGAAACCAGTGAGGTATGCAAATTAGGATCGCCTTTAACGGTCACCATCGTTTCCCCATTACCAATACCAAACTTCATCTCAAGACACTCAAAATCCATTTGTATTTCTCTCAATGTCCTTAACCACTGCACTCCCAAGATAACGTCGGCATTACCCAACTCCAGAGGTAAGAAATCCGCCACAATTTCCAGATTCTGCAGCTTTAACACCACTGCTCTACAAATTACCTCCACCGACAAAAAATTATGTGTAGCCCCGCTGTTTATCATCACCACCACCTCCTGATCCCCAATACATCCCTTCATCTTGAAAGTTTTTGGGGACGTGAGGCCTATGGCTGAATTAATCGATGAATCAGCTCTGTCATGCATCTCCAATGGAGGAACTAAGGGCTGACAGTGTAATTCATCCTCTTCCAACAATAACTCTCCCACCTCCTCAACCAAAATGACCCGTAACCCTTTATTCTTACAACGGTGCTCAACATAAGATTTCTCATCGCAACGAAAACAGAGACCTCTCCTTCTATTTTCGTCAATTTCCGCTTCCGTTAATCGACGAGAAGAACTTCCTTTCTCTGAATGTGGCAACTCATCAGAGCCCTGCTGCAAACCATTTCCTGTTACTGCCGCTTTGATATTGTCCTGCCTATTCCCTGAATTCCTTTGGTGGCAACCAGATGAGTTATTAGGATCACCTGACTCCACTCCCAAACCGGTTGACCACAACCGACAACCCTCCAGCCGCAAAGACATTGAAATAATATTGTCGATTCCTTGAGGCTCGAAAACTCGTATCATATCACGAATTTCAGGTTTCAATCCATTCTTAAAAGCGCTCTCCAGAAAATGATCTGGAAGATATGTCAACTGCGACACTAATTCTTCATACTCCTGCAAGTATTCTTTCACCGAACGAGTTTGCTTAAGCGACATCAAGAGACATCATCAAATGATAGAAAACATAAAAACATAAAGATAGAGAGAAGAGAAAGAGAAAGCTTCTCTTCAAGACTTGTTCTTCATGCTCCAAACCTCCAAATCTTCTTCTACTCTTTGTTTTTTTGTTTCTTGTTGTTGTGTGTTGAATGAGATCAGATTAAGAATCTATTTATAGGAGTTTCTGAAAGGCAAAAGTGGATGGAAATGATGAAATTCGTAGTGGCGTGTTAGATGAGTTGTCTCCATGATGTAAGCCATAACGTCAGCAACCAGAATTTTGCTCAGATTGTAACTGCTCGATGAAGGACCAAATCTCCACCACAAATTACGATCTTGGTGTCTATGGAAAGCTCTTGATGTCTAGTTTACTGTGAAATAAATGGCGAAGCAATCGAGCTCCCAATCGAAAGTTATGGAGGAAATAGTACACCATTCGCATTTTGCTTTTCTGGATCCGAAACGTGACTTGCAACTTTCGACCCCGATTCATGCTTTCTCTTTTTGATCTCAACTTTTCCAGATCATAACTACAATGAGTTGGTAATCTTTTAAAATTGGAATCACGTCATTTGGACTTCAGATAAGAAAGTTATAGTCAAATTCTTCCAAACGGTCAAAACTGCCCATGAAACCGAGTTTGCTCCATTTTTATTCTATTTGTGCCAAATGTTTCCGAAATAATTTTTGTCACCTACAAAACATGAAACACAAAAAACAAAGCAAAATATTCCTAATCTAAATATGAAAGCATGAAAGCATGAGAATAACATGATAATTATATGCAAGTTAATACGACAAGACTCGTGTGATCAACGAGTTTCCAGTTACCTATATCTGCTGTTGGTTCTAACCTTCCAGGGCATGTTCAACCTACTCAATCACAGGTTCTGCATCTTCAACTGTATCAAACTCAAGCGATGCATCAACAATCTGCGCAATCTCAGGTTGTTCACCTTCAACCTACCCAATCACAGAATACTCACCTTCCACCAGCCCAGTTACAGGCTTGCGAGTGGCTACCAGAAGAAGTTGCATCCTTGCTGGTAGCTTAACGGGGTTAAATCTAACGGGTAATGGCCATGCTATGAAAAATGAGATGCAAGAAAATCATGGAATTTTCTATTATCATGGGCATTCATTCTCGATCCGATAGTCCTTCAATGTTAATTGTATAGGTAGTGTGCCATAGATCACGGGTGCCTGAAGCTGTGTTGCCACCCAAAGTCGATGATGTTTCATCTTCTGGGCTTATTGCCGATGCCATGGGTGTTCAGACATCACTAACAAGAAAAAGTCCAATCAGTAGACCCATTAGGCATCTTGAGCCTCCGCCTGGGTTTAACCAGGTCCCTTCTAAGGTGGCTAAGGAGTTTATTTCTAGTTCGGATCTGTCTGGCAGTAATCTGCTGGTTGATGATTATAACTGGTTGGACGGATATCAACCTCAATCTGCACGAGATGTTGGGCTCAGTAATTCTTTGAATCATCATTCTCCTGGGAAGACTGAATATATGAGTACCAACAATGGCCTGAATGGGACTGCTAACTTCCCTTTCCCTGAAAAACAAGTTCCAACACCACAGGCGTAGGTCCAAATGGATATCCAGAAAGGGTGGCAGACTTATCAGTAGTATCAACAACAATAACATTTGAATGGAAACCAACAATCAGATCAACTCCATGAGCAGGATCAAGGACAACCCTCCTGGCCAGGTCGTTACTTTGTGTGAGATCAGTAAAGAGTGACACGGTAAAAACTGACTTTAGTTCTTAAATAGAATGAATTTTCGGATTTAAATATTTTAGTTTTTAAAACCGAAAAGAACCACAAAAAAGTTTACGTTTAACTCGTTTCCTTTGATGAAATTAAAAACGGGCTTTTTATTGGCTTTAACTATAGTCGGTAAAGCCAAAAGCCACAAAAAAACCCCTCTCTCTCTCTCTCACACACACACAAACAAACTCCTCTCTCTCTCTCTCTCTGTGGGTATGCTTTTGCAGGTGTCTAATCTTTTGTTTGTGGTGGTGTTATGGTGATCTCGAAACCATTGGTTTGGTTGTATAAGTTGAATCCTCCTTCACAGTTAAAAGGGTTTTGGGATCATAGTAATATGACGGATTGCAAAGGCAGACAGTGAGGGAAGTCATGATTAGGTTGGAACTTCGTCTCTCTATGTCCTAGTACAGTATGGTATGGTCATTAGGGTGTTGAATCCATGGGATTTTGTTTAGATGGATAGAAGACGACCATTGTATTTGTGATAAATTGAAGTTAGACGGTTTTGTTGGGTAAGGGATTTGGATTTTTTTGTTTATAAGTTGGGTTTTGTGCTTTTTCTTTTTCTGGACAACGAATAAATCATTTATTTTTTTCTAATCAAATAAACATATATACTTTGCATATATATATATATATATATATATATATATATGACATCTTGAGTGTGGAGAATCATTATTGTGTTACATCGTTAGGATAAAAATTTTAAAACTAATAAAAATAATAAAAACTAAAAAAGTATATATACTTTGCATATATATATATATGACGTCTTGAGTGTGGAGAATGATTATCGGTGTTGTGCCAAAGGATATAGATAACGAGTTATTTTTAGAAAGTTTTTTTAGGTATAAAGGATATGGGAACAAATCGAATTTATCGGAATAAGAGGAATGGAGTGATGTATGGTACGAGACTATATAGTTCAAAATAACGTAAATGAATTGATTGAACTATTTATATCATCTATATTTTATGTCGAAAGGCTCCAAAATTAAATGTACCAATAGGGAATAGTGTTAATGTAAGTGAAAGAATATTTTTTGAGATGTGTGTGTGAGGATAAAATATGATGAAATATTTTGTGTTATATAATTTCACCGTTTTGTTACGTTCAGGATATTACATGTAATAACCCGAATCCAATTTGGGATATTTAATTAAATTCGGAGAAGAACAATTAAATAAACGGGTACTAAACCTTAAGAAAGGGATCACAAAGTGTTGGAAAAAAGGCCCGGAAACCACCCCGAACGAATGAGACGTGGAAACGACAAGAGAAAAGAGAAAAATGTGTCTAGACCGATCGGTCTAGCATGTAGACCGACCGGTTTAGACGATCGCGAGACCGATCGGCACAAAAAAAAAAGAGTTTGGACCGATCGGTCCAGGCCCAAACCGACCGGTCCAGGCGAGAGAAAATATCAGCCGAACTGGCACTTTTGGACGCGTGATTGGAGTGAGATTAGGGGCCTACAGACGACAAAAACCCGACCTAATCACCCATAATTGAGCACTAAGCTCCCTAAACGACCCTACTCGACCCTATGCCTCTGAATCTCTCTAAAAACGGATCCAATCCTGCTCCAAAAACCATCTGGAGCCATAGAAATTGCAGCAGAAAAACTAAAGGAAGAAGAAGAAAGAGAGGAAGAGAGAGAGAGAAGAGGAAAGAAGCTCGTGGGAGCAAAGAGGACTAGCCTCAGGAGGTCTAGGAAGGGCACCATCGCCAGAGTCGCCGGAAAACGGCAACGAATCCGGCCAAAACTCAGATCCGAATCTGAGCAAGGTGAGTGGCTCGAGTTGCCTCTGTGTGAACTCATTTTAATCGTTGTTATGGTGTTAATTCGATGAAACCTGGGTATGATTAGACAGTGGAAGTTGCAATGAATACATAGAAACAAACACACTCGATTTGGTGAAGAAACGAGCAAGATATGAAAAGTTGAAAATCGGAGAAAAACTGTAAAATTGCAGAGAAAAACGCAGAAGCATGCTGAGTCCGAAACTTTCGGGCCATTACCCAGAAAATAGGTGTAATAATTGAATAAATTGTTAGTTGGAATAAAACTACGACATTTCAAGGAGCATTTAGAAACAAACGGCACTCGATTTGGACGAAAAATGAGTGAGTTATGAGCCAACGAAGTCGGACCAGAATCTGGGATGAAATCGCGAAATCCGATCTATCTCTGAGCTCTGGACCGACCGGTCCAGACCCTGAAAATGCCGGAACGGTCCGAAATTGCCTAGACCGACCGGTCTAGACCCCAGGAAAGTCTGGACCGACCGGTCCAGACCCAGAAAACACCGAAAATGCCCGAAATGACCAGGAACGATCGATCCATATTGCATATATATTGTATATTGTTTTATATAAATACATATATATATGTACATGTATATACATATGAATTTATAAATGCATATATGTGTATATATTTACATGTGCGTATATATATGCACATATATTGTATATATATATATACATATATATATATATATGTATATATAAATATACACATTTAATATTTATTATTTTATGTATATGTGTATATTGTATATATATTGTCTATTATATATTGTATATATACACATATGCATACATATATATATGTGTATATATGTATATTTAACATTTAATATTTACTTTTATTTTGTATATATATTGTATATATATTGTATATATATATATATATATATATATATATATATATATATATATGACATCTTGAGTGTGGAGAATCATTATTGTGTTACATCGTTAGGATAAAAATTTTAAAACTAATAAAAATAATAAAAACTAAAAAAGTATATATACTTTGCATATATATATATATATATATGACGTCTTGAGTGAAGAGAATGATTATCGGTGTTGTGCCAAAGGATATAGATAACGAGTGATTTTTAGGAAGTTTTTTAGGTATAAAGGATATGGGAACGAATCGAATTTATCGGAATAAGAGGAATGGAGTGATGTATGGTACGAGACTATATAGTTCAAAATAACATAAATGAATTGATTGAACTATTTATATCATTTATATTTTATGTCGAAAGGCTCCAAAATTAAATGTACCAATAGGGAATAGTGTTAATATAAGTGAAAGAATATTTTTTGAGATGTGTGTGTGAGGATAAAATATGATGAAATATTTTGTATTATATAATTTCACCGTTTTGTAACGTTCAGGATATTACAAATGGTATCAGATATAGAATTCTTTCACGATATGGTTTGAGAATGAATTATGTGAAAGTTGATAATTCTATTATATTTTAGGTAAGGATGAAAATAGAGAGTGATGTGAAAGATACAAATAAGGAATGAGTATTTAATATCCATCAGTTTTTTTTTAAAAAAAATTAAAGTTTAGAATTTTTTTATCAAATCGATGAATTCATATTTATTTTGGGTAGATTTCAAATGTAACATTGATCTCAAAATTCGATAATTTTTTTTGATATTTTTCTAAATATAATTATTTTATATATGTGTATGCATATGCATTTGGCATAGCATATGCATACACATCAGGAGGAAACAGATTTGGACTTTCGAAGGAGAATGGCCCAACAAAGGAGACGATAGAAAAGGAAGAATCCAAACATGATCCCTACGTTCATCCACCTCGTGTCCCTCTCCAGTCCCCTGCTCCTCAACACCTCCTCTCCCGTCATCTCGCACGTCTGCTGCGACGGCGCGTCCCCTCGCCATGAGAAGCACTCCCCTCTCAAGCTCCAGTACTCGTTCACCACCATCGTGTCCAGCGGGTACCTGTACAACGACACGTAATACATGAACATCCATGGCTTCGGGATGCTCTCCTTCGGTATGAAGTACCCTGAGAAGAGGAAGAACGCTCCCAGAACTGTGCAGATCAGGGAGTTCCCGGAGATGAAATCCGGCGATACTGCGCTTAGGAAGAGTACCAGAGAGCTCGCCATTTGGACGATGAGCCACACGACCAGGATGAAGAACGCGAACGCTTGGATCGATGGGTTCAGGCCTACGATCCAGTATACGGGGATGGAGAAGAGGAGGGAGACGACGAAGAGGAATGGCGTGAAGGCGATTGTGTTTGCGATGATGTATGATGAGATCCGGTAGCATCCGACTGAGGATTCCTTCATCACGATTCGGCGTTCGTGGAGGTAGATCGGGAGTGCTTCGACTGTTGAGGAGAGGAGGAAGCTCAGGCTGAAGGCGAAGAGGCCGAGTCTCTCCGCTACTCCTGCTTCGTCTCGCCGGAGTTTCACGTAGACGCTAGCGAGGCCGAATCCGCCGACCAGCGCCTGCATCGTACGCGCCAGAAATAGCTGCTTCGTCCTGTAGATGATCTTCCAGAATCTGGAGCAGAGTAATGCGATCTCGGCGATGTCGAGGAGAGGATATCGATGTTTGATTCGATCGTCTTCGTTTTCTTCCTCCGGCTGCCAGATCGGATGTGGATTGTCGGCGATTTGGGTTGCTCCGGAATTCGAATTTCGGAGGGAATCCACGATTTCCATGGCGAATTCGAGTGGATTAAGCTGCGCCGGGATCTGGAACCCTATTTTAACGATCGATTCCTCGAGAGATCCCAGATTCCCAAAGTGAATAACCGATCCACGTGAGAGAATCAGGAAACTGGAGATGTAATCGAGGATTCGATAACTCGGCTGGTGGATCGACAGCACGACAGTTCTTCGCCTGGATTTCGCCACGAAAGCGAGGAGCTCGATCACCTGAAGCGAGTTTCTGCTGTCCAAACCAGACGTCGGCTCGTCCAGGAGCAGAATCGGAGGGTCACGGATCATCTCGATGGCGATCGAAACTCTCTTCCGTTCTCCGCCTGACACTCCTCGGTCCTCTTCGTCTCCTTCTCCGACGAAGCTATCCTTCACACGAACTCTTTCCCTTGGCGTCATTGAATCTCTCAAGCTGAATTTGGCACTGTACATTAGCGTTTCCTTCACAGTGAGCAAAGGCAGAAGATCATCGTCTTGTGGAACGAATCCACAGATTCTTCGTAGCTGTGAAAGGTTTCTGATGTTACGATCGTTGATCAGAATTGCTGCTTCTGGGTCCAATTCCTTGTGATTCACTCTTCCTGATACGATCTTCAAGAGGGTCGATTTCCCCGTCCCGCTCGGTCCTACCACGGCCAAGATTTCGGAGCTTTCTGCTGCGAAAGACACGGAATTTAGAATCTTGATGGGGTTTGGCTCCTGGAAAAGGCGGGGAAACAGAGGAAACGGGGATGATGGAATAGGGTTGATTGAATACGAGAGATTGAAGACTGATAGCTTGTAAGAAATCTCAGGATAAGGATCCCGGGCTTGAGAGGAGAAGGAAGAGGAGGCAGAGGAGAATTCCTCGTCGGGGGAGTTGGAGGGCGAGAAGAGTATGATCGAATCCTCATCACCGGTAGCAGCGGCTGAGGAAGGCGGTCCGAAGCAAGTAGCAGCCATTTTTGGAGCTTTGATCGTCATGGGGAAGTGTTTTCGGCTTTTCTTTCATTACATGTTTACGTGTTTTGTAGTTTCAGATGGGTTCGAACCTTTAATCTCTCCGTCTTGGGAGAGTAATAATGTTTAGGAAGAAGTTGGACCAACCAAAGAAGAAATTCGGAGGGAGTGAAATGGTAGGCAGAGGTTGGTGTAACAAAGGTAAGACTTGCATAAGTTAGATACTTGGATTAATTCAAAATCTGAGTATACATTCTGTTTATGGTAAATTGATTTATGAGATTTTAGAGTGTTGAATTCATAAATTGCCCTCTTTTTTTTATTAAAATAAAAAACTTGGGTGGCAGTATAAGATTATGGGTTTTCATTTATTACTGGTTTTGGGGATTTAGTAGGTTTTTTGTGAGAAAAACTTGGATACTTCTGACCTGTCTGTCCCTCGTTTAGACCACCAACTCTGTTGCCTCTTCTGCTAAACCCTGGTTTGGATCCATCTTTGAATCGAAATTTTGAACTATAGCTTAAACCCTAACACGTGTAAAATCGATTTTTTTTAATTATAGAACATATGGTTCAACTAAAAAAGAATTGCTGAATCAGCTATTTTTAATTTTTCTACATAGAAAACAGGAAAACAAAAACATTTTATTTGTTGTAGATAAACCCATCTGCTTGTTGTCGTTAACAACATTCATATCAGGACTTACCAGTCAATATATTGAACAAAGTTTTGGAACCAGAAAATATCTGAAATCCACCAACAAGTTTTGTTGTTTTGTCATTTGTGCACCATTTCCACGACATCAGAACCTAAAAGACTGTACAGATGCTTCGATATACCCAAACCCAGTGGCTGCTTTCACTGATGTAATAGCCACACTTCACTTCCTTCCCAGCCTAACCAAATGAGCCTCGTGCTTGGCAGCCGCTGCTGCTTCTGCAACCTTGTTTGCGGCTTCACGCTTCATTGCCCTCTTCGCGCGTCTTCCAGTTGCGTTAGTTTTTGTTTGCGGCTCACGGGTGGAAGAGGAAGAGCCGGTTCCAGAGCCCGAGGCCTGACCATTATTACGGGATCGATGTTGGACGGGTCTGGCTTCTTGACGGCCTGACCTGACATACCCACTGCCGCCCCACCTCCTGTTTCCTATGCGAACACTTGAACCACACAAGTAATACTCGTCAAGGTCATCGTCCTCGTATTCGCATGGAATGTCATATTCGCATGGAATGTCAAAATACTCAAAGCCATCATCTTGTGACACCCGTTCCTCCACATCCAGAGGCTGAAACCACGAAGCTCTCAAGAGAAGGCACACACTCTCCTCAAACATAAAATCCTGAATGCTGCACATGAAAAAAAAATAGTAGAAAGGGAATTTAGCACAAGGAGTCGCACACAGACATGATCGACCTTAGAGACAAAGGAAGACTGGAATTTATCGTCAATCTCTCATAATCAGTTTTCTTAACAGTGGGGTGTCAAAACATACAGGGCAGCCAAGGTATCCACATAAAAATAAGAGAGCATAAACACATGCACTATAAAAACCAAAAAAATAATTGAAGAGCTAATTGGATATATTAATCAAACTTCCTCACTAAAATAAGCATTCTTCACAATCTGCCAAAACAAGATGGTCAGATCTTTATATAAGATAAATAGGGCAAGTTGACAGCCAGAGTAAGCTGACCAAGAAAGATTTAAAAAGGTTAGTAAAGAAAATGAGCTGACTATTGAGCAGAATGTAAAACCAGAGAGAGAACTCACCTGCCATCAAGAGCCCGGTGGACATTGAGAAAATCAAATGGATTCTTACATTGTGGGCATGTAGGTTTCTCTACGTAGCTCGCCCACCGAAGAATGCACATCACACTACACAGATAGAAATGAAACATTCATCTTAACAATGAAAAGAAAAAGTCAGTTTTTTTATGTTATTTCATCATTAACCAAACATCACATCAATCCATTTAGACTCAACCATAAAACAAACCCTGAAAGAATAACAAAGTTATAATTAACCAATCAGCTAATTGAAGACAAAAGCAACAACGTCCATTGCTGAAAATACTGAGTAGAGTCACAAATAAAGATCAACCATAAGAAGCCAATGGCTCGATAAACCACAGAGAAATTTAAAAGAGCATTCAGTCTCCAACTAAAACATACATGTACAATTTACACACATGCCGAATAAATCTACTTTTACATGTAACATATGGCAGATATGTAAATCAACTTGCGTCAAAGCCATTACTCCAGGTTAAAATTCAAACCAGAACCAAATAAAGAAAACCTACCCGAATGGAAACCTATCATCTTAAACAAGCCAACAAAACAAATATAACAATCTCCTAAATGTACAATTTTCACACAAAGAGTGATATTCCAAAAAAACACGGAGCAGAAACAAAGTGTACAATTGAAACACAGTTCCAAAACTAAACAAGATCGACGAGACGTACCAGTACGAATGTTCACAGCCTTTCACCATGGCGGTTTCTTGAAGAGGGATTTTGTCCAAGCATATTGCGCAACACCCACCATGATTGCCAAAACTCGGAGGATGCGTCTGTCCTCCGACCTTCGTATCCTCCTGAAACATTATACAAACACATTCTGAAGAATACTCCACGAGGCCAAACCAATAACACTGAAAAAGAAATCCAAAATTTCAGTCTGCAAATACATAAAACCCCAATTCATTGACATTAACCACGGATGAAAACACGACTAAGAGATTCATCTTTGCACATGGGAAGCACGGACGATGGAAATCCTAATTTCAGAGCACGTCTAGTGAAAATAACAAGATCACCTATTCTACGGGAGCCCTAATTTTCAATCCGAAACTGGCCCAGATGCAAATAACAAAGGATAATGACGTAATTCATGAAGATTAGACACCAATCGAATAACTAACTGAAGAGATCAAACCGAAGTCTACGAAACCCTAATTCTACAATGAAAGTTCTAGATCCAGTTCCAGCGATAAAGCAGAAGAACCCAGACAATCGACTGAAACAGGAGCAAAAAGAGCAAACAAAGAATCGATCTTCGATAACAGGATACATAATTGAATCAATTGGGAGAAAAAGGAACCTGATCTTGAAGAGACAAATCGCCAAGAGTCTCGGTCAGCTGCTCATCCCTCGGGGAAGTCATGGCGGCGAAAATAAATTACAGAAAACTCGATCTACCGGTACCTGCAAGACGAATGATTGGGTAAGAAAGAGACAAACCCTTCTTCCCGAATCTGTTTCGCCTGCAGAAGAAAAAAAGCCCTAATTTGCCCAACAACAATCAGATTTGGGTGAGGGAAGTGAGAGAATTGAATCGATGGGAGGAGACGAGGGATGCGATGGAAATATTCTTTTATCTCCCCAAATGAGTAACAAACCTTCTGTTTCAATAAGAAGCTCCGATTCGGTACATGCTTGTATACTTCCGTATATGCATTTTCATCATTTTCAATTAGAAAATCCCGTCAAAAATACACCTATCTTGGAAAAAATATACAAAAGTTTTAGTTTCACGAAAAATACGTCAATTGTTTTAAAATAACAAAAAAAAAATATTACATAGAATTTTGAAAATTGACCTAAAATTTTACACGGTTTGTTAACACGAAATTAAATGGAATAGACGAAAAACCGACTTTGACAAAAGCTTACAGAACAAACGCATTGTGCGGACGCAGAAAATTTTATCGATGGGGGCAACAAAATAATAGTAATAAAAATATAAATATAAATATAAATATAAATATATATTATAAAATTTTATCTAAAAATATTTAGGTTCAACAAATAAATTCTATGATTTTTTATTTTTTAAAATATATTTATATAACTCCATTTATAATTGTTTGAATTATATTTTTGATAAAATAAACTAGACAATGACTCAAAAATTAAAAAATTAATGTATTAAGGATTATATTATTTGATCGTGTCTGCTAGTATTGGAGTTCTCCAAAGCAATCTCATTTCCTTCAAGCCCTCTTTGCCCGTAAGTCTTTCTCTAACTTTATTTTATAAGATCATCAGAATCATAGCACTTTATGGTAATGCAAATATATTACACCTTTAATGCAATATCTTTAGCCTACTAAAACATAAAAAGATATAGGGGGTGACACTGTTTCTTGCACAAAAAAGGGGGATTCGTAATCATTCAATGTATCGGAATCTGTGGGAATATGGGGTCACTCGTATTAGTTTTGGTTAGATTTTTTTAGTAAATTATCGGTTGAACTTTCTACTAAATCAAATAAAAATTCAATAAATATATATACAGATAAATTTATAAGTATAATAAACATATAAAAACAAATAAATAAAAAATAACAAAGATTATTTAAATTTACAATTTTTACAAATATTTCTTCTTTTGTTTTAGTTTTTATTTTATTATAATTAAATTGACAATATTTTTTATTTGTCTAAAAAAGTAAAAAACTTGAAAATAGAAAATAACAAAAAAACAATAGACTAATTTTTTTTATTAACTAACATCACAAAATATATGAAAAAAATCAAATTAGTGGGGTCCGTGAGAAATTTTTAGCGGGGGCATTAACACATTTTTTTATAATTTTATTAAATTTTATAAAAAAGGAAAAAACAGTGGGGGCCAGTGCCCCCACTCATCTCCACGTAGGTCCGCCACTGATTGTCATTAGATCACACTAATTTATTACGTCATTAAACCATGTCATTTAGAGAACAAATCCTAAATTCTTATATATATGTGTGAATGTGTACATATATGTATGTACGCGTATACGTACGTATACATATGTATATATCTATATAAGATTTAAAAAAAAAATTGAGTGGGGCTTGAATCCTTTGAGGGTGTATATATATGTATGTGTATTGCCATTAGTTATATACGAGTTTTCTGTCTGTCAAATCATTTTCTCGTTGTTAAATTTCTTCAATTTTAACGGTGTTAAGGATCGCGCAAAAACTTGGCTTGGTGGTAACAATCTTAATTATAAGAATTTAGATCAATTTCGATTATAAATTCCACTTGTACATGTTTTAAAATTAAAAACTATATTTTTGGTAAAAAAATATATATATATTTTTCAGGTATTTTGTAAAATTGATACAAAATAACGTCGTCTGTAATGAAACAAAATTGTTAAATTTAAACAAGATCATGATAATGAGTGAATGGATCATTAATTTATGGCTATTAATATATTGTAAATAGTTAAAAATTATCATGGAATGTTAAATTTAAATTCATTTTCTTAAATCAAAATCATCAAGGTGTTGACTCTATGTCAAAACACCCAAAATGTGGTTTGAGCTGGAAGAGAAGATATATAAAAGAATGATAAAAAAATATCAACACATTTGTCTTTTCGAAATATCGATTAAATATCATAATTAAATAAATTTTAAATTAATTCAATTAAATATAATATATAGTATATATCTGATTTGATCCACTTAATTATTGAAGTTAAATAGGTAAAAAAAGTCAACAAAGAGATTATTTTACTTGTTTACACCCTTACTTTTCCTTGAAAATAGGTATAAATCCGAACGAACCCTACCTCCGGTTTTGATAGCACGTAACCGGAGGAAAACAGGTTTGGTTTTGTATTCTGGGTCGGGTTTTTATTTTATTTTATTTTTGGCACTTAGTAGCGGAAGCCTGATCAAAGCTACACATTGTTAATTTAAATAAGTGAAAATAAAAAAAAACACTTAAACAAGTTTAAATTTTGAAAAAAAAAATACTAAACTTTTTATTTTATCAAATAAACATTAAATTTTTTAAATTTGACAAAACAAATACTTAACTATCCTACGATTATCAAATCAAACAAAATAACTGATGTCAGATTATTTTACTTAGTTTTTTTCTACCATCAAAATGATCATTAAAAAAATTCAGTATTTTTTTATAATCTCAGAGTTCATATATTTTTTGGATCACTTAAAAAGTTCAGTGCTTTTTAGATTCATTTTAAAAAATTAATATTTATTTGATAAAAAATAAAATTTTAATGTTTTTTTTTAGTTTTTTTTCTTTAAATAACAATTGATTCCGTGATAAATAATCAGGAATCGCAGGTTAATAGGGTTATTAACAGCGGCAACAAAGGTATATGCAACAATGTAACATAAATCAATAATTTATATTTTTTCTGTATTTATAGTTGGCGTAGTTAATGCCTTTTTTGCCATATTAACAGTCGAGCTTTGTTGAGATTTTATGACCGTGATCATGTTTCCCATTAAAAGAAAAAAAATTAAACATCAATTAATGAGATATTAAAGGATAATTAGGAGATGATGATCTCGTAACTCACACTTCTTGGGCAAAACACAACACTGCATTAAAAATTAACTTAATTCTTAATCACAATTAGAGCTTCAGACAAATGATGATTTTGAGCTAAGTGCAATTTTTTAGCTTAACGATCTATCACAGTTTTTTTAGCTTAACACCTTTACATACATACTTACATATATATATATAAGGATAGATAGGGTGAGAATTTTAGTTCAATTATCAGGAAAGGAATCTGACGCAAACCAAATATAACAAATAATCTATTTACCAAGTATAAAAATAGTCGATTAAAAATGGATTTTTCTTTTAAAAATTAAATATTTTTTTTTGTTCTCGAGTATCTTGGGTCAAAGTCCAGATAATCCTGAAAGCATGAATCTGCCATGTGAATTTAGAGTATACGTTGTCTCCTCAAACTTGTGCTATCCGAAATCGGATGGATCAAACGATTTGCACAGACCACCCAAGTTTGGGTAAAAAAATGAATATTTTTGTTACAAAAACTTAACTCGAATGGAATAAAAGAAATCAATCAAATTCAAAAATAGAAATGAAATATGGGATTTTAGTATTTTTGTAATAGAAAAATCCAAACTCAAACGTAAACCTGAAATGATCATCCCTAGGAATACCCATTATTATGGATCTGGCCAGCAAAACATAGAAATAGAAAAAAACGGTCGATGAGAAGAACGATATTATATATAGAACGTGGGTCATATATATATATATATATATCACATGATGGAGCAGGAGTTGGCATTTTCATCACTGAAAAGCTGACAAGGATAAGAGTGCTGGATGGAGTACTGAGGAGGGTAAGTGAAGACATTGTTGCCCTTTTCGCACGAGGCCTCCTTTTGCGCGTTGTGGTTCTTGTTTTCGGAGCGTTGGCTTATGAGCTCTGCATGTCTTCCCATTCGTTTCTTCACCTCTTCCACGACCTTCGGTGGATCTATCGCCCCTCGTACCACCACCGTTGACTTCGACATGTCCGGTTCTACTGTCAGAACTCCTGTCCAAATTTTAAAAAACCCGTTTATTTGTATCGCAGATTTAAAATTTTATCATGTTTCCGTGGATATACATAATGCATATTGCATATATGGGTGTGTATTTCTAAGTTCGGTTTTTGAAAAACTATACATTTTTTGATTTTTCGTCACAGATTCGCTATGAATTCGTTTTTTTACCTTCATTTTTTTAAAACAAAAAATGTTAGATTTTCCGGTTATTTTTATATTCGGTGCGGGTTCAATTATTTTTTTTTATAAAAAAAAACTAGTTTGGATCTGTTTGATTTAACAACCGAACCGAAATGGATCTCTATATACATATACATGTACATATAGATCATATATAGATTCACATACCTTCCATTTTCCCTATGCCTCTTTTGATTTCATGTACACATCCTTCACAATGCATGTATATTTTCAACACAGCAGTTTTGATCTGTGGAGGGGGCTGAACTCAAGCAAACGAAAACTAAGTCAATCTCTTTTTAATGTAGCATCAAATTTGAAAATACATCTAAGATATATATATATATATATATATATGATCAAATATGACACCAAAAAGATATGATCAAATAATTCATTTTGATGTATTAAATATTCTAAACAAATTTTTTTTTAAAAAAAAGAGCTTACTTCTTTCTTTGGGGATTCCTTTTTCTCTTGTTTAGGGTTAGGTTTTGGAGAGATTAACTCAGCATTTCTACTGAATTTCTTCTTAACCCTTTGGAGTATCTTCTCGGGATCATCGAATTTTCCCGACACAATCACTTTGTTCTCTTCAATCTCTGTCTTAACTTGCTCGACACCTATAAAGGGAACAGTTATATATCGCTATAAAACAGAAATAGATACACTTTATATGTGTGTATGTATATATACAAGTTTTGTGTATATATTGTATAAAGAGAATGTTTTCAGCTGAGAAAATCAATTATACATACCATCATAGCCCTTCAAACAATTAGACACTTGCGAAGCACATCCTTCGCAGTGCATGTAAACCTTCATGATGACATCTTTACGTTGGCTTTGTCGTCCATTTTGCATGTTCTTTTTCTGAATAATCATACAAAAAGGCGTAACTAATATATATATATATATATATATATATATATATATGTATATATATAATTATGTATGTGTAATTGGATTTGAACAGTACTTTGTATATGAAATATACAGAATTTATAAAAGTTGCAGGAACACGTACCTCTTCCATAGATCTTATTTGCTTCTCTAATGGTGCATGCAAGGATGAAGAGAATCGAGGAAATGTGAGTCTATAAAAGGTGAGAGAATTCGATGATTATAGTAAGTTATAAATTAAAAAATCAATAAGTTTCTGAATTTAGAAGGTCGTATTTGATGCAATATGCGTTAAACTTAAAGGGAGAATTTTATTGCGTTTTGTAATAATAGGGAACGATATATATAACCATCATTTGTACGATGCTATTGAAGGATGTATGAGGAGAGGAGATAAACGGTTTTTTGTGACTACTAGTCTTCCTTTTTAGAGCTTGTAACTTCTTCTGAGTTGTCCAATCAAAAGTCATTAATGACTTGGATTTTCCATATCCTAAAGACTCCGTATCTTTCTACGTTCGTCTATATATATATATATATATATATAACATGGTGTGACTATTTTATCCAAAACCTAATTGATGCCAAATGAATAAAATATCACAGCAATTAAATCGAATTTGGTATAAAATTTAAACAGATAATTTTTTCCAAATTTGAAAATAATTGAAAAATTGAAAATTTCTTTTTTAAATAAATATTTCCGTGATAAAAACTAGCATAAATCAAACTAAATATAAAAGTAACTGAAAACCCAATGTTTTTAGAAATTGAATATTTTTAATTAATAAAAATTGAACCGAATATAAAAAACAAACCAAATCAAATTTAATACAAAAATTGAATAAATAAAACCAAAAAAAGACCGAATGAACCTAAAATGGTCACTCAGTGATTTCTTTAAAGATTTTTCTGTTTTTTAATTGTCGGTAGTGATGTAAAACGGGCTGGCTCGGACCGGCCCGGACCGGCTCGTCTCGAGCCAGTTTATTTTTGGCTCAGCCCGTTCGTCCTATTTTTTACGAGCTAGAAAAACTCTGACCTAGACCAAATTATCCGAGCTCCAAGCCGGCTCGCGAGCCAACCCGTTTTTATCTAATTATCCGAAATTTTTTTAAAATTACATTAAAATTAATCATTTAAAGTCTACGTAACAATATTTTGAATTCATTCAAAACATAACATAAAATATTTAACATAACAATCCATAAAACTATATCTAAATCAAGAAAAATTAACAAAACCAAACCAATATAAAGTGTAATACACCAACAACATCAAAATATAACAAAAAATATACATCAACATCAATATAAAAAGTGTCATACACCAACAACATCAAAATATAACAAAAAATATACACCTAACATCAACATATCATGAATTTTAATTTGTTATATAAACAAAAGAAGTTAATAAATTAAAGTATGAAACACTAATATTTTTTTAATGTCAGCTCGCGAGCCAACTCACGAGCCGACCGAGCTAGCCCAGATAGACTCGGGCTCGTCTCGAGCTGGCTCATTCGGCCCGTTTTTATTTGTTCTTTTATTTTTTCAGCCCAACTCGATAAAAAACGAGCCAACCGCGAGCCAGCTCGCGAGCCTAGCTCATTTTGCCATCACTAATTGTCGGGTACAAGAACAAAGAGGACTTGCATCTTTTCTATGGTAATTATTTCTACACCAGAAACCAGAAGTTACGAATTTTATTGGAGATTGATAAAATTGTAAAGGGAGCAGTGCTTTATAGAGTATACAGTTTTTGTTACCCACAAAGGAATCTACAATTTCTCTAAATTCCCAAACCAAAACACACACCAAAAAGCACATTCTAACCCAAAGAAGACGAACAAGAAAAAACAAAAGGCCTAATCGAAAACCAAAATGGTAGGAAAATATTTTGACGAGGAAAATATATACGAGAGGCGAAAAATCCGATTTCGGTAAAAATAAAAAATAAAAAAAATTCAATGAGGCATATTATCTTCACTTCCTACACCCACACTGGATTTATCAACCATACGTACATTGTATTGCTCGTATACTCTTCCTCTATTCTCTGCCCACCATTGCTCCGCTTGTTTCTCGCTAAACCTCTTCCGACTGAAACCCAAACAAAACAAAAAAAAAGGGCCGGAACTCTGAGTTTCATCCCGCTAACATATCATATCTATCAGATCAATATTTATCGTAATGGAAAACGTACCTGAAACGAACACGCTTGAGATCCCTTGCCCCTCCGGGTAAGGCGGTGAGAGTGATGTACACTCCGGGCTCATCTTGTTCGACCCATTCGTTCGCTTCGCTCTCCTTTGCTCGGTGGTTTCCGGCTCTATTCGTTTTTTCGGGATTCCCTTGATGCCGGTAACTTGCCTCGGGTGTGCTGCTTCCGTTGGAAAACGATGTGGGGTCTGGCCCATCTGGCTCGGGTTCTTGGAATGTCGGTTGGCTACTTGGTCGGTCTAAGATAGAGTTAGAAGGGCTTGAGCCAAACGAACCCAAGGAAGGAGACTTGATGGTCCGAGCAGATACTACGGGTAATCTTTCAGCCATGTCTTTTAACTGTATGGTACGTTGAAACAAAAAAAAAGAGAGAAAAAATTGATGCTTTGAAAATGAATAAAAAGAGGATTATTGGAAGAAAGAATTATCGGTAAATGGATACAGCGTTGAGGAAAACTTTGAAATTACCTGAGCGGTAAGTGATTTTATGACTTCTTTTGCCGCCTTGCATCTCGCTGTTTCTTCGCTAGCGATTGCTAATGCTTCTTTTAGTTGTTTCGCCGTTCTTTCAAGCTCGGATTCTTGAAGCTCTGCCTTCCGCGTTAGATTTTCAACCTGAGATATCGTTTACCAGTTAGCAAGACAGCATCTAAAGAGAAAACGTGACAACGATGTATTTAATTAAGTTTTCCGATATGGATTCAGATATCATGGGCACACCAATTCAGAGCGTTGCCATTCTGGGAAAAATGTGTGAGTAGTAAGATACTTGCTACATTTGAAGCTTCACAAGATATATAAGCATTCATGAGAAAGTTGCAGGAAATACGTCATGAGCGATAAAGATTTGGGCAAGAAAAAGGAAAGTTTATAGGGTCGAGAAGCAAGGTACCTGGGCTCGTAGCTTAACAATCTCTTGACTGAGGCTATCATTGGTTCTCTTAGCATCATCCACGACAAATTTAGGTGTGGTTAGTCCACTGAGAGTGGGAGTTGGTGTCGTTGAGCGAGGTGGGCTAGGACGTCTTGATATCGGAGAAGTTGCCCGCGACACAATTCGAGAACCAGGAACAGAAGCTGAGAAGAACTTCTTCGAGGATCCAAACACCGGATTGAAGGACTTGGATATGTTTAGTGCACCTCTTTGAGAGCATCCGCTCGGAATTGGAGAGACACGACTGCTATTGAATTCGTACTTCTTGTTCTTCTTAGACCGACCATTCACTTGCCTCATGGACTCCAACGACGAAAATCTAGCCAACTGTCCATCGGATCTAGAATCCAACTTCTGATCTTTGTCAATAGAATCTGATCCTTGGTTGATGCTTCCTCTTCTACTCAGAGAAGAATGAGATGATGGATCAGTTTCCATAGCCTTCTTTAATTTGTTAAAACACTTGTCACACACCCGATATGGTTTGTTCGGATTCGGTGCCATAGAAGCCTTCAGAGACTTTTTACTGCTGCATGAGTGGCAAAATACTAGTCCACAGTTATAGCAGTTGTGCCGCTTTCTCTTGAAATTGAAAGGCTGGCGACAACCCGAGCACGATGACTGGTCCATCCCCAACGCCCACTTGTGAAGGCAGACAGCTGCGGTGAAATTAGTGCCACAGGCAATACTTTTCACTTGTTTATCCTTCAGTGCATCCACCAATGTCGGGGTATTTCTATCCTCTACATCCCCATGACCTAATCTACCATTCGATCCCTTTCCCCAAGAGTAAACCTCGGTTCTCGAAGTTAACACTGCAATATGATAAGCACCACAGGCAATCTCTTCCACGAAACTCTTGTGAAGTTTGCCTTCAACACGGGTTGGAACCTTTCCATCTGCATGTGGATTTCCAAGCTGACCATAAACAGGACTGCCCATAGTATATACGTGGCCCGATGTTGTAAGTGCGACTGTCAGACTGTGTCCACAGGCAACTTGGCAAAAATTGGGCTCGACAAGGGCGGCAACACAGGTAGGCTTGAGTCTCTGTTCTTTGTCGCCGTGGCCAAGACGACCCTTATCACCATCACCCCATGTAAAGAGCTTCCCTGAAGAGCAGTTACTGGAGCTTGAGCTCCCAATCATGACTTCAACAACCGCCGCTGTGTGCCATACACCACAGGCTGCACGGACAGTACGGAGACCTTTCAAAGATTCGACCTCTCTAGGTACGGACACACTTTTTCTGTCTCCGTGGCCCAATACACCGAAGGTCCCATCACCAAAAGTAAACAACTGTCCAGCAGAGGTAACAACAGCTGTGTGGTAAGGCCCACAAGCAATGGAGGATACATGTATGCCCTCCAACAGGAAATTTACTCTTTTTGGGAACCAGTGACTTACTTCATTTCCATGTCCAAGAACACCAAAATCCCCTTTACCCCAGGTATACAAATCTCCCGATAGGGTAACTGCACAACTATGGTATTCGCCACATGCCACAAGTTCGATATTTGTGTTACCGAGTGCATCAATGAGTTTTGGATGTTGAACATCGGAATCAACACCATGGCCTAGCCTGCCTCCAAATTCCTCTCCCCAAGAGAAAATTTCTCCTTGTTTTGTCACAAGGACAGTGTGCTGTCCACCACAAGCAATATTTTGGACGTCAAGTACTATTGTAGATTCTAAAGCTTTTGGCACTAAGGAATCCATTATGATGTCAAAGGAACTTCCAATTCTACGGTTTCCACCTCCCAAAACACCTTCCCCTATGCCTTCTCCCCAGATGAAAACATCTCCCAATGCATCTCCTTCATCATTACCAGAACCATGGCTCGAGGAACTAATTGCACTTGACAGACTAACTCTAAAAGCATCCATGCTCATGCCCTTCATATGACCATGCACGCAGTCCGGCCCTGGAGATGGCAAAGAGTGAACTGAAACTGCCGCAGAGTCCGAAGGAAAAAATCCCTTTGGAGGAACAGCATATAATGTCACGTCTGAAAATGTTTTGTCAAGACCATTCTTAGGGGGACTCCCGTATGGACTATGAAGATGGTGATTAGAACCACCCTGGAAGGTAAATGGATAAGTTCTTAATTAACACGTACACCGAAATTAGGCGGTAAATCTTTATCAAAAAATTTTGGAGGCACATTTGATTCTTTTACCTTCTGAAAACTCTCATTGCTACTAAATGGAGAATGCAAAGGGGAGCTTCGCCTGGTATATGTTCTTGGGCTATTAGCTTCAGATGGTGTGCCATCACTTCTCGATTCTGTTCTCCATCTCCGTTGATGGAAGCGTGAAATCAAGGCTTTCAGACCACTAAACCACACCTCAGCCTCATCTTTATCCTTGCAGATCTACCAAATAAAATCCTAACACCAGATTAAAGAACTTCCTATAATCACACAAACATTTTGAATAACAAATTTGGTATGTCAAAGAGAAACCAGAACAAAGAAAATAATGTAAAAGAAGAGCTATAAAATCTCACCAAATCCAATGACCTCTCGTTATATATCAGAGAAAATGACTGATATTCCTTCTCGGGACGTGGATACCTCTGAAAAATAGGCTACACAGCAAGATTATCAGTCAATTGCACCAAATATGTATGGGCCAAAATACACCTTGACAGTAAAGGAAACTTAACATCAAATGCCAACCAAGAGCAAGACCAATCTGCCTAACTGAAGTAAGATGATAAGCTGATGAGTAAAATCAGATATGGAATGAACACAAAAACTAAAGGATTTGAATCCTTCTGAAAAAACAAATTCAAAGAAAAGAATATAGGTCTTCCTGGTGTTATGCATCAATTGGGAAGGCCAGAAACAACATTTATGATCATGTTACAAGAACAATCAACCAAAGAACTGCACCCTAGAACATAAAAATGATCAGAAGATACTTCTTATATGAAAAAATAGAGATCTAATCCACCAAAAGTCAGTGCATGAAGACTAGGTTTAAGCAACCTTTACAGGACTGTTGAATCTACTCTAAACATTTCATCACCAGCTCAGGGAAAATGAAAAAGACCGGGTTGTCCGCACATATAGAAACTTACAGTGCGCTGGCCAGATATGATTCTAGAAACTTGGAACAGCTTAAGATGTTTCTCCTCCTTTCCAGAGAACCAGATCAAAACAGTTTCATCCTTAGGAAAAAAAAGAAAGGCAACGAGTTTATTAAATTAGGCTGAACAATGCTATCACGCACACGATCAGTAGGGGAAAAAATGAACATATAGTAACTAAACACGCCTCAGAAAATAAATGGCAACAGTGTGGTAGTGCTGGAAATTCTTAAACAACATGGCTAACAAGCAACTCAAAGGAAATTTCAACCAACTTACATTAGAAAGTTGAAATGGACAGAACTTAGGCTTTCCCCGTCTTCCGTACTTAAGCAAGTAAGCTCCCTTTTTTAGGGCAGTGATGGCCTGAGTCCAATTTAATCCAAAAACTTTGAGTATGTGAACTCGTGACAATGACAGATTTTAGCTCAGAAATAAGAACAGAAGAAAAACTAGTGAATAACAAAGATAAGAACCAGTGCGCACAATCAAAGGTCTCTCCTGACCCAAAAAAGGGGGCTTAACCAATTATCTTAAACACAAATGAACCAACTTATCATCTGAACGCTTGCATCCGATCATCCCCAGCTATACACTTGAAACTATAGAATAAAAGTCAGAAATGAACTGTTTGCTCAGGAAAGTCGCAGTAAATTGAAACCTCAGCTAATCATCAAATGCTCCAAAGTCTGGTAAGACAGATGAATTCCGCAAATCGAAGAATTTTGTCAGGTAACCAGAATCGATTCTAATCATCTCCATTTAGTAGCTGGAACCGAACTCAGGAACTCTCGCAGTGCGCTAGAATTCTAGTATTAAGCTAAAGCACAATCAGGAATCCAGAATTTGAAACACATTTTAGTTCTTAGGATCCGCCTGACTAAAACGATCTTATCTTACCTAAAACATCATCAGAAAACAATCTGATTCCAAAACGGTCTTTCTATTAACGACTCATTAGAAGTACTAAAACAATCTTAACACGAGAATCATCACAAGACCTAGATTAACTGAACCAATAACTACCTGCTCAATATCTCTCTCCACTGGACCAGTCCGGCTAAGATCCGAAGCCATCCTTCCGTTACTCGACATAAACAGAATTCCGAGCAAAGCTCCTAAAACCCTTCACCCGCGGAAAACTCCACGAAATTCACACAACTCAACCTAAAACCTGAAAAATCGAAACACCTCCTGCATTCACGGAACCTAGTCCTCATTGACATGATCATCGATCTTGAAGAAACTTCAGGAAATTTCCCTACGATCTGAGAATTGAGAAACCAAACGCAGCAACTTCTTCAGCTCTAGTTTCAAATCGATCCGAATAGTAGAAAAACGAGCCGTCGGTAGACCGAGAAAATTCGAGAATGCCTTGTTTGGAAGGCTAGAAAACATTTAGCAGACGCGAGAGAAAGTGAGGGAAAATTGTGAAGCGGAGAATCTAGAAGACATGGCATGATCTACTACGCACTACTCAGTTATTGTAGCTTGTGAGAGAGAGACCAAGGAATATTCTAAATCGTAGATAGAAAAAAAAAAATCCTTGTATTTCAATAAATTGATCGTAAAATGCCCGAAATGTTACTTTAATTACAGAACTACCACCTGGCTATGAAATCACGTCTGAAGTCAACTTAATTGATAAAATAAAATAGGGAAAATCCTAAAAAAATTATCGAATTTGGAGATATCTGATATATTAATATCGAACTTTTCCAACTTCCAAATTAAATATAAATTCGTCGATTTTTATACAAAAAATATTGAACTTGTAAATATTTGACGGATGACGAGGCGTTGAGTCATCCGCCACGTCAGCAACGCGAAGAAAACGATTTGGTAAATTATTATACTATATGTGTTCACGAAAAAAAGAAGACTTTGGAAAACATTTTACACTCAATTTGTAAATTTCATCAACAATAAATGGCAGATTTTCCAAAAATACCTAAAAAATAGTTAACACAAACAATATGCTCATAGACCCACAAAAAAAATCATATACAAGAATTGAAGAAATTTTTATTATTTTTATTGTGTATTTATTCCTTTGTATAACTTTTATATGTCTTTATTTGAATTGCATCTTAAAATCTGATCTAATCTGCATATAATCAATTTTTCAAACAACTTCGTCGACTGCTTTCATATATCTTTTATATAGCCCTTGACTTTGCTATATCATATCTCAATCAAACCAAAGTATAATATTAGATATCTAAATTATTATAAATTCCTATAACTTTATTCGATTTCTTGAGAAAAAGTTTTAAAATGTCAAAGGTTTAATTCAAAATCTGAAATATTAGGTTTTTAAAAATAATAAAATACTCAATATTTAAAAATATTTAAAAATGATAAAATATCGATATCATACATTTTTACATCTCATTTTGTTTATATTTTGACACAATGATATCTAAAGTTTTATGATTTGATATCGAATTTTTATTTTAAATAAACAGCCGACTAAAACGTCGATGTAAAATATCAAAAAACTATTACTCATTAATAATAGCACGACTCATTATTTGGATCGATTTCAATATAATGATTATTCGATTGGGTTTGGTCTCGATTTCACAAAAAAAAAATGTATATTTTGTTTAGTATATTTTTATTTTTTCTTGTTTTTTTATATTCATTCTGATTTAGTTCGGTTTCGTGATATTTAATTTTCTAAAAACGTCACCATTTTTATATAGTTCGGTTTGAAAATGATATCAAATCTTTCAATTACATTTGATTCTTTTTTTAGTAATTTGAACCAAAACTTCGATCCCTAAAATGAATATCTAGTTTGTGGATATAATTAAATGATTATATTAAAAAAAACTATACTATTTCACTTAATTCATTAGTCAAAAATAGTGTAGATATGAAAGTATAGTGTAAAAAATTAGAACTATTAATTTGCTCATTTAAAAAATAATGTAAAATAATAGTGTGAAAAATAGTATTACTACTATAATGCTTTTGCCCTAAAAAAACTACAATCTTGCTAAAATGTGAGAATTTTTATCTTTCGAATGTGGGGAAAGTGCAGAAATTAAAATTTCAAAATATCAATTAGATAAGAAATTGTTATAATGACAAATTGATCCAATAAAAAAATGTTTCTGTACAACATTGTGCGAGGCTTTTGCAAGGCTTTCCATCTTTAGGAGTTTAAAAGTATTTGGGCCTAAATTCTTTTTGGATCCTATGGCTGTTGGGCTTTGATTCAAACTAGTGTTTAATGTTTTGGTGAAATATATACACGTGTATATATATACACCAATAAGAACTTATCTTTGTATGTACGTGTATAACTAAATAATATACACGTAACCGACGGATTATAGCTAATACTCTTCTACAGGTCACGGTGGAGGCCATATGGAGGGAACGCAATCAACGTTTATTCTGCAACCGAACTAATTGCGAGGAGGTTACTCGTCTAAAGATGGACAGACGAATCAGAAACATCTTCTTGACAGCCGTTGGCCGATACCGGATTATTACTTCATCGCCTCTCCAAGATTGGTACTATATCGTTTTATATACCACTTACAATGAGTTTCCAAATTTGTTTTCGGAATAAAACTCTTTTGTAAAGTTGTTTATATAATTAATATGATTCACATTTTTATAAAAAAAAAAAATATATATATATATATATATATATATGAATTAGTCAATAATTGTGGGCTAATAGTGATCATCATCTTCATGTGATCAACTTGGTCCTAATTAAAGATCCTACAAGACAACACTATCGGTTAATCTCATAAGATGTTTTATCACAAATGGCAAACATGCAAGTAATCTTGAAATTATCTCTTATGTATCTAATCTAACGCAATCTCTATATGAATTCCAACGTACATGTAGGAACTTGATTTGGTCATAGTCTAGTTTGATATGATACCAAATCCCGCTAGTCGATTTATTATTCGTATAGTTATGTATATAAAAATTATATATTTTTCGTGTGAAATAATATAATAAAAACCTAAATAATTGGGAAGAAATTTTCTCTTGTATTATTTCAAATAATTAAAGAATATATAGAGGTTATTATACATTTCACATGAAAACAAAACATCTTACCAGATCAAAGCCGACCAAATTAGCCTAAACCGATCTCTAACTTTAATATATCGTCTAACCTATTGTTGGGAATCTGTCACGTGCGCGCAAATCCTCATAATGGTATCTAGTCCTATTATTATGACCCAAAAGTATGGTTACAATCATAAATATCACATTAAAATAATGGAGAAGGTTGTATTGGTTACCATTTGGCTTTCAAGATTTTTGTATTTGGAGTTAGGGGGTGAACAATTTAGTTATTAACCAAATCGGTTTGAACCGAATAATATTCAGTAATGGATTTAGAAAATTTTATAATCAGAACAATTGTAAAGAATGGAGACCACAAAAAAAAAATCTTAGGGTAAACCTAATTTTATTATGGGTATTTAACGAATTTATTTTAAAATTATAAAGTTGATAAATAAATTAAAATTTTTAATTAAACAAATGGGGTGTATGAACCCATTGATTTACACGTGGATCCGTCCCTAAAACTATATGATTATTATTTATAGAAAATCGAAAAAATGAATTCGAATTCGGTCAAATATAAAAAATAATCGAAAAACTAAAATTTTTAGGAAAATGAATATTTTTATAAAAAAGTTCAAACTGAACCGAAATAGAATACAATGGAATTGAAATATAATTCGATATAGAAACTAAATGATCGATTTATAATTTTTTTTAAAACCGAAATAACGTAATCCGAATATAACCGAATCGAACCCAAACGATAACCCGAAATTGCAGCCCTTATTTGACATGCTAAACACATTGCAATAATTAGAACCTCACTAGTTGTATTGTTGCAATATTAATACATGAACATGTCTGCTAACGTGATTACATACATACATATTGGTTAAATTGTTGAATGTGGCAAACCAGGATGCCAAGAGAGGGAATCTTAAGCCGACGGTCTTCGTCTTCACCTTTTCGACCGAGAGAGAAAAAGGGACAATTGGCAAGAAAGTGAGACAGAATTACGAATGGTTAAGGGTTTTTTGTTTTTTTAGTAACTAAGTATCTTAGATTAAGGTTCAGACTAATTCTAGAAATCGGAGAAACTCATGTCAAAATCTCTCCCCAAATTTGGAGTTCGAACTCGGGCAGTACAAATGCGTCATATACAAATTTGAGTGATAAATATTCTTTTCGTTACCCGCTAGAGTCATTTAGTCGGAACACGTAAAAAACTTTCGATCTTCTTTCCTTTTTTGTTGTATGCGTCGGGATAATCTATATAAAAAGCAAACGTAAGAAGCATATATAGTTAAGGATCATGTGTTTAATTCTTATAACCTAACATAACTATTTGGCTAAAACTTGGTCAACAAACTACAATTTACATACTTACCTTTCTCCCTTAATTTCCTTTAATTTGCTTTTGACAACGTGGTAATTCTTTAAAGATTATAGATCTTTAATCTATTGTTTCCTTAGCCAAATTGATTTATCACTTTCGATATTGTTTTCCCAATAAGTGTGCATCATTCTCACGAGTTCAACGTGTTATACATCAAAATAATAATAAAATAGGAAAATAAAAAAGAAAAAAAAAGTCTTACGGATAATGTGAAACCATTTAAGTGATTTTACAATTCTTCTGTATGTGTATTATTTATTTATTATTATTTTGGTAAAGTATTATTATGATTATGAGCACGAGCTTGTTATTTACAATTTTGTTATTATTGGAAATTAGGGGAAGATTAGAAAGTCAAAGCTGACATGATTGACCACTGGCCCCACCACATTAAAACCAAACATTTCAGTCTTTGACTATTTCAAAAGTCAACCTTCTTCAATTTTCTGCTTTTTCCCTTAAAATCTACAAGATCCACCATATCTTTCATTTCTCTTGTTAATAGGACAAGCGATCACTTTTGAGTTTTGATTCTTGAACTCTCTCTCTCTCTCTCTCTCTCTCTCTCTCTCTCTCTCTCTCTCTCTCTCTCTCTCATGGGCAAATCTCTTATCAGTTCTTGTTTTCCCCTAAACCCTAGACGGCAATCCACCATAACACTCATCTATTGGAAAAACGGATCCACCAAAACCCTAAATGAATCCAGAAAATACGTCGCAGGGGAAGTCATGTTCGAGTTTCCCGACCAGATGGTGAGCCATGCAGATTCTTTCTTCATCGGTCGTCCGATCCTACCACTAGCCATGGACGATGTGCTGATCAAAGGCGAAACATACTTCGTCTTGCCCATTGACCGGTTCGCTTACAAAACCCTAACCACGTCCTCTCTCTCCATATTCAATCCCAACAACGCCGAACGAGAACGAGAACGAGAACGAGAACCATTACATCCGAAATCCCCCGTGAATTTCATCACCCCCTCGAGTCCACCGCCTTTCGAGTATTTTCATGGCTTAAACGGAAAGGTACTGATCAAAGTTTCCCCGAGCTTTATCATAAATCTCATAGGTAACAGCAGCAATAAGGAGGACGAAGGGAAGAGCAGTGATATCTGTAATACTCCGGAGTTGAAGAAGCAATATGTTCAGCTCGTAAGGTCGAAAGAACAAACATGGTCGCCGAAGCTCGAGACGATCTCAGAGCGAGAGATCAGGACTTCCCCGTACGGCCGTTTAGGGTTTAATCGGAAGCAGAACGAAAAGTTCGTGTTATAGAATTGTATTGAAATTTCTTCTTTAACCGTAGATTTATTTCCCGTTTGTGTATGTGGTGATTGTTTTGTTTCCTGAATGCCTTCTCATTGCTAAGAACAAGTTGTACAAATTGATTACTTTATTGGCATTGGTTGAAATAAAAGATATTAATTTGGCGGATATAATAAGTATTCACACCCGATAAGACGAGGTCGTTTTTTTACTTGGTCTTTCTATGTAATAAGAACTCCAAATTTATATATATATATATATATATATATATAATGTAATAAGAAAACCAAATATATATATATATATATATACACACACACATTGGGTATAGCTAATTATTTAGCTACCACGTACGTGTCCTTACAATCATTTTAAAAACTTGTTTTGTTTACGTTACAAACTTATTTGTTTTTATTATTTCCATGTAATTTCAACATGAACATATTTAATTGTTTAAAGTTACTTTATCAACTATAAGTGTATGGTATTTATTGTGGTCAAAGAAATACTTTTGTTAATTTATTTATATCCATGATAGGGAAATCAAGAGAAACGCACGGAAAAAATGTAAAAACTTAAGAGTATCAAACAATAAAAGCACATAAGAAAATGTTATGGTGGGAAAACAAGTAAGATATAATTTACAAGATATGAAACAAAATAGTTATTTTGATTGGCGTTTTCTTTGTTATGCAAAAATTTATATAATAAAATAGTTATGTAGAATTCATCTTCTTTTTCTAAAAAAGCTAATGGTGTGATTGTTCTTGCATGAGATAGTTAAGTCTTGTGCATATTATATCACCTTCACTTGCACGTTCAAATGTTTTTTTTATCTTTATTTTCTATTAAAATATTAGCTTCAGTTTATATAATTATTTAAACATTTGATCACTTTAGATTTGTTTATGAGTAGGGGTGGCCAATTCGGGTTTCGGTTCGGGTTCAGTTCGGTTATTTCGGTTATAGAAAAACTATAACCATTCGGTTTTTATATAAATTTCGGTTCGGTTTGGTTCGGTTATTTTTCGGTTCGGGTTCGGTTCGGTTTTGGTAAAAAGTTCAATTTTCCAAAGAAATTATCGATTATTCTCTCGGTTTTTTCGGTTATTTTTTATTCGGTTCGGTTTCGGTTTCGGTTTTTCGGGTTTAAAGATATCATAACCGTTCGGTTTTGATGTCGGATTCGGTTCGAGTACGGTTATGTCTTATTCGGTTCGGTTTGGTTCGGTTACTCGGTTAATAACCGAAATGGCCACCCTATTTATGAGTTTTTCTATATTGATAAATTTAATTCTATATTTTTCTCCACAAGTTTCATTTACTTGAAACTATTTAATATTTTGGATTTTTGTTTTGTTTTGTTTACTATTAGAACTTTGACCAGTGAATCTCTTTAATTTAATTGTTTTAACCCAATTTTATATTTAATATTATTTTAATTATTTTGCAATATATTGACACAAATTTTAAATTAAAAAATTTCATAAACGTACAAATCTAAAAGGAAAGATGCATGTTTAGAAGTTTATTATTAAGGAAAGTCAATTCGTACCTTTGTGTCTTAATGGGTTTTTAACTTTTTAATAGTGATGGAAACAACTACTTCCTATTTGAATAATTAAAGAGTACTAAATTAAGTTATATCATTTTTCTCTCTCAACCATCTCTGTCAAAACTAAATGAGATAGAGATAAAAATATATTTTGGTTAGTTAGAAAAAAAAATGAGTTTAAAATAGTTGGTTGTTCGATTTTATAAATCTTCGAGTGATATAAAATTTTTATTCTTCATAATATTTCTATAAAATGTTTCAAAACGAAATCGAAAATGATGGGATTTAGTTTATTAGAGTTCGATTATTTCCATTGGAGTTTGGTTGCTCATATATATATATATATATTAGGTAGGGTTTACAATAAAATAAATATAACTAAATAAAAATCGTTTCTGTTATCAATTTAATTTGGTTCGATTTTTTTTCTTCGATTCAAACTCAAATTAAATTAAATTTAAATTTAATAACTTAATTAAATTAAAATTTCTTTCCATACAAGATAAAATATACAATGCAATTCAAACTATGCTAATATATTACATACTATGTTTCGAAATGTTTTTTGAATCATATTTCAGAAAAGATTATATATAGTTTGTGTATTAACTATTTATTTCGAAATTTTTTTAAAAAATGTCAAATTTTTTACAATTTTTCAAAAAAATGTCAATTTTTGGGTTTATAAAAAGAAACAATAAATGTGAGAAAATATGTACATACAATTTTAAGTTTTCTTTTTTTTTTCTTCTCGTTACTTAATATATTCACGTAGTTCGTAAATTTATAATTTTTTTAGATATAGGAATATATCGTATAATAGGTGGGTGGGTAAGTCATATACCCAAGTTGATTGGTAATATGTGGATAAAAAAAAAAAGATTGAAGTCGGTCCAAAATAGATCACGTTTTAAAATATCAAACTTGTTAGGCGATCTCAGCGTAGAAAAGTCGTCTATGTGAAACTCATTAAAGGCTATTAGTACAAATAGTTAACTTGGTGGAAAGGCCAATCAATAGATTCAATGCACATCTTTTGGGGTGTCAAACGTGGATATCTTTTAATGGCACTAATGATGATTCTTGTAATTAATTATATAATAATATTATAGATAATTATAGTTATAAGCCTCACTATTTATAAAAAAAAAGACAATTCCGAAGTTAATTCACAAGTTGCTCACGGAAAAAAAAAAGTCATGTAAGACTGGGTGAATGAATGATGCAGTATGAATACTAGAAATATTTGATAAGATTGTAATTATTTATTTTTTAAATATTTTAATTCATTAATCAACTAGAATATTCATAATTAAAAGTACAATTTAATTATTTCGTTATCACGTGTGAGTTTTGAAATGACGTTCTTTTTTTTTTACTTGGTCAATCTTAGTATATTCATATTTTCTTGCAATCTGTGATTTTTTAAAGTTTTTGTATCTTGGTATTGAAATTTGTTCATATGAAACGTGAAAATATAAATTGATTATGTTATAAAGGAAAAAGGAAAGAAAAACAATTACATAATAGGTGGAATTGGAAAAAGAAAAAGAAAACCGGAAGAAGTAAAAGTTTATGGAAAACAATTTAGAATTTTGACATAAAGAAAAATTTAGATAATTTTAAAAATTAATACATTTTACATCTTTATTCATAAATATATGAATTACTAAATATTAATAGATTCAATAATATAAAATCAGTAAAGCAACATGGCCCATTGTTATTACCCACAGTAAACAAGTTCAACATCAACTCCATTAGCAAGAAATATAAACCGAACTTTCAAAAAATGTGGAAAAGAAGGATAACTTGTAAACTTTTAATAAAATACATCAATTTATCTTTTTTTGTTTAAAAAAAACCTGGAAAATTATTTTTTAATTGTGTCAACCAATTTTCTCGCTTTTGACAACTTCTACAGTTGTACTGCTACACTATTAATGATATGGCAATGAATCAATTGATTTCCGTTACAGGTCGATGCCACTTAAGACAAATAAATATCTATATATTTTTAGTAATTCCATATAACCAAATAAAATGATAAAATAATCAATTAAAAAAAAATAACCAAATAACCAGTAGTACATCAAAGGAGTCTTCACCCAGTCTATTTAATAACGAATCATTTTCAGTTTAATCACTGGTATTTATCTTTTAGAGATAGATTGGACGACTGATTCAGATATATTTGGATCCAATTATTTTAATTTTAAAAATTATAATCATTCAATTTTTATATTGAATTTGATCTAGTTCGGTTATATTTGGTTTTTGTTCGAATCCGTTTTAATTTTTATCGATAATATACTCATTTTCAAATAAATTTTTGATTGTTCATTTTTTATTTGGTTCCCAATTCGTTTCGAAGTCCTTTTTTTGTTTTAGAGAAATGATCTTTTTAGTTTTTATATCGAAATCAACTATAGCTATGTATTATTTGGTATTTATAACGACCCAAAATCCGATATTTCGGATACCGTTGAATCGTCACTTGGGTTATAAAAAAAATTTGATTTATTCTAAAATCAACCATCAAAATCACAGTCTACAGCGGAAGTCTAAAACAATGAATTTCAATAACTTAAGTCTGAATATTAATTTCATGAATAAATTGAATAAAGAAAATAGAAATTCTAAATCTTCGTCTTTCTGGAAAACTACCGAATCCAACCAAAATAATATGTTTCACCTTTCACATGTGGAGAAAAAGGAAGGGGTGAACTATGCGAATAGCTCAGTAAGGTTGCAAGACTATAAACCTAGTCTCCGTATCCAACATAGACAATCAAATAGAAAACAAAGTCAATCAATTAACATTCAACACAAACAAAACTCAATCTATCGATTCACGTTCTTCTCCTAACTTTTCTTTATTCGATTCTTTAAAACGAGTCTAGATCTAGGACCATTAAGTACCCCTCAGACTTAGCTTAAAACTCTTTTTATAAAACAAAACCAAAAATGTCGTTATAACCCTCTACGGATCGATGACGTAGTCGGAGTTATCAAAACATGACCAATAGTAATAATCCTCTACGGATCGCCGCCGTAGTCGAGGTTACCACTCCACATGGATCGCTGCCATGCCCGGGTTCGTTATGCCATCACATACGGATCGCCGCCGTACCATGGTCTCAAAACTCAACCAATAGTAATAACCCTCTACGGATCGCCGCCGTAGCCGGAGTTACCACTCTACATGGATCGCTGCCATGCCCGGGTTGTTATCATACCATCACATACAGATCGCCGCCGTACCATGGTCTCAAAACTCACTTTTAAAATATTTTTAGCACAGTCTGAGGTCACATCCTAGTCCCTAACTTCATTCTTTGCTTCTTCCATCTTTCTAAACATCATGCCAAAATTTAATTGATATCAACAGTTCAACTCATTCTAACGGTCCAATAAATCCATTAAGAAACGTCATCACATAACATGGACGCCGCAAATCATAATCACTCAACAGAAAATTTATCAATCATCAATCATCATTCATTATTCATCAATCATCTATCATCAATTATCAATCATCATTCATCAATCATCAATCAACAATCAACATACATCATAAATTCGGAAGAAAACTTAAGGCGTC